CAGAGCAGAGAAACCACAGTATCACTGAAATGTAACATTATGGAAAAACAGCCTGGACTTTGTCTCCTCAAACAAAAGGCACTGCAGGGATAATGAACTGACTTTTTAAGCCAAGAAACACACATACCAGTAAAGTCAAGTTTCTGGAAACCTGTTATAACTCAGAACTGAAAGGTGTCTGAAGTGTCATTTAGAATTTTTCAAAAAATAAATTAAAAAGGCAGGCAAAATTGTCTCTTGCATGAGGACACAGACAACGTACATCTTTTCCCCTGTCCCTTAAGTGTATTTGATAGTACCTTTTGAAGTTCTCCAAAGAGATGGCAGAAAGGCAAGAGAAAAGAGAGGAACACATGTGACACAAAAACAACCAGCTATGGTCCCATCCCCAGGATTCATACAATTTAGAAAAGCAATGATAGTTCTGGATTCTGAACTGCAGGAATATACATTCAAAAGGGATGGAAAATTACTAAGCTTGTTTATCTACCACAAAATGCTACTCAGTTGCAGTTTCTCTGCAACTCCACCAGCATGAGCAGCAGGCTAGTTCTTTGTCATTTGCAAATTTAGCATTTATTTTATCATGCCATATGTAGTCAAGGGAATTCAGCTAGGAGAGGTAGGCTCTGCTCTACCCTGTTCATCCTCTGCCTTCACAGAGGAAGATAAAGCAAAGAGGAAAAGGTGAAAAATAATGTTCTGGGTAGAGTTCAGATGCAGTGAATATCATCTGGGTCATTTCACGTTTCATACTCTCTGCTCCTGCCTTTACTTTGCCAGTTACTTTCAGAGCTGAACGCTGGGGCTGCTTATCAGCAGAGCTGCAGGGAAGCAGCAGAACACACTGAGAACAGCACAGGAAGGGACCAAACCAGAAACTTCCCTGCCAGTAACAGGGCAATCCAAGCAGAAACTCAAGGAACAGCTCATGGCTCGGGCAGGGAAAGCTCTAGAGGAGATCTCGGTGGCCTCGGGAGTGCTTGCAGAGGAGAGGGAGGGACGAGTAAATAAAGTGTGAGGCAGGATCCCTCCCACCCTCCCTTATTCAAATAAATCACTTAACTTTTCAGAGCAGCAAATCTCCTTACTCCTATGGATTAAAGGCAGACTTAAAAGAACGTTTGTTAACAGACTACCCTCTCCCAGGGTCATTCCTGATGCATGCCAGCTGACCACATGCAGAAAACTAAGTTAAGGGTGCCCTTGATTAAAAATGAAAAGTTTATTTCTAAATAAAACAGTACCTTTAAAGACAATTAAAAGGATTACTGGATGTGGGATACAATTTTAATTTTACTTCTATGGAGCTTGATGAACATTAGACAAGTGTCTGTGGTATAAGAATATATATATATCTTTGAAACATGGCCTTTTGCCATCCTTTATGAGGTGAAATGAAATTCAAGGTCTCAGGGCTCCCATGCAAGGAAGAGACAGCAGGACAATAATTTCAGAAGATAACCTTTAGGCTGCTCACTGACTAAGGAGAGCTGAGTCCCTATGGGATTCCCACTAAAATGTCAGGAAGCAACAATATTTTATCCCAGTACCAAGTATGTTTCTGAAGATTTCATGTGCCTGCCTACATGTTTTCCATAATGATCGCTCCATTAAAAGAGGGAAAGTTAATAATAAAAAATAAAGGCTAATTTACATTTCACTACATAATATCACAGAGCTAAGCAGGTAATTTTAAAAATAAGTTAAAATATATGACATGAATGAATAATGTTGCAAAATACCCATTACAAAAAATGTTTAGTAAAAGAGGAGGAAGAAAGCGGAGTGAAGGAGAAACACTTGTTCCAGGGGAATAAGTCAGATCAATAGGCTCATACCAAATAGATTCTAGGGAAAAGAAATAGTCAACAGGGTGAGCTACTTTGTCAATAAGTTGTTTAGTAAGAAATAATAATCCTCAGGAATCAAAGAAACAAGAGGAATCCCCTAAAAAATGCATATTTTGTAGATACAAACTGCTTCAGTCTGGCATGGGAACCAGGTCTAACCCCAAAATGCCTTCTCCAGCTTGGATGAAACACCAACATGACGACATCAAGGAAATCCAGTATCATCTATAAACTGACATGTTTAACAACTAAAGAACATGAACATTACAAATGCTTTCCTGAAACTCAGCCTCCAGGTGACCTATCCTCAGAGCCAGAATTTCTTCCTAAAGATAGAGAGACAGATGCTGCTGCTGGGTGTGGAACATAAATCCACTGACACAAACCCTGCTGTGCAATGGCTCACAACACCAGGGCAGATACAGTACACACAGACACAGGTGGCACACACTCTCCTTACTCCTTCTGGGCCAGTCCCCACCTTCTAAGTCTACAACAAACCTCTCATTAGCTTCAGGAAGTAAAAATCCCTGTGTGCATAGGCATCCCAACCAACAAAAACACTGCAATCACTTTTGCCGATTTGCTAAAACATGAAAACACAGAAAAGGCAATAGGTCAGGGACGCTGCACCTCGGCACACTGCAGGTACGGCAAGCCATCTCTCGTGTCTCACACCAAAGCAAACTAGCAAGATGTGAGTTAAATAGCTGACCTTTGTGTTACATCACAAGCTGCTCGTGAGGACACCAAACTTCCTCCTAACATTCTTGTAAGAGCTCACTTGTACTGTAACAAAAGGCAAGCATTGTTCTGATAGTTTCCTTAATATAGACACTAACAAAATGCTAAATAATAGCATCAAAGTGCTTTATTCCCTGCTTTCCCCAAGCCAACAAATTTCAGAATGTGAATAATAGTAATTTCATCTTCCTGGTGCTTTTTCCATTTCTTTTCTTATGTAACTCAAACCTGTTTCAAAAGAAAAACATAGTTTCAACACGTATCTCCCAGCAAGTCTTACAATTATTTTCAGAAAGCCTGGTAATAGCTCAGTATGAGTAAAACAAAAAAAAAAGTTTGTATTTGGCAAAATCTGAGTTTGTCCATATTTTCTTATTTTTCCTTATTCTTCAATGCTTTGCCTTTGGAAATCAATACAATTTTGGTGGCAGTGCTTTCCTCTCAGCTTCTCCACAGCAAGCATTTGAGATCTTCAGGTTACAATGAACCCCAATTTTGGAACATGATATAGATGCTTCTGGGAAGGGGGTAGTAACTCATTCACTAGTTCTCTCTAACAAGTATCACCTTCCCCTCAGATCTGTTCCACCACCACCAGAGCCAGTAACTGCAAGGGAAGGGGATGAGACAAAAAACTGAAACCAACCAAACAAAAACAAACAAAAAACCCCACAACAACAAAAAAGCCACCAGAGACAAAGCAAAAGGCAACTTATTTTCACACAGATAACAACAGGAACTGAAAAAGCTAGTGACTTTTTTACGTCTCCCAATTAACCAAGCTGCTCAAAGCTCAAGAGGGAAGAGTAACAAGTATATGAAAGCAATCATGATATGTTCTGCTTTCATGACCACCAGAGCCATTTACTTTATCTCCAAATACTCTCTCACCTCAGGTTTCATCAACAGGGTCAATGAAACCGTCATTTTTCAGCAGCCACATTTTTCTGCCCCAGCAGCCTCAGGTGAAGCTCATGGGATGCACATACCTGGGAGCCAGAGAACCTCCCTTCCACTTTGTCACCAACGCTGTTACTTGCTGAAAGCCACAGAACTTGACCAAAGCTGAAAATAGCCCCATGTACTTATTTTGGTAAAGAAGGGCTTTTTAAGGGACCATTATAGTGGCAGAACAATTTGCGCTTACTTTTAAATATTTAAACTTACAGTTCTTGGGGAATTTGCTCAATAATTCAATTCTTTATTAATCTGAGGAGAACAATCCAATTTAAAATTCTTTAAATTTTTCATTAAACTCTCTCTTTAAATCTCCCATTTCAGCATCCCCAATAATGTAACAACCTTTTAAATAAAGCTAGTGATTGCTCATTAACAACGTGAAGCCTTCACTGTAATTTTTGCAACAGCTTTTAGGGGAATTCATATATGTCTAAAGAGACTATGCAGAACACTTGTGGTCTGAAAGGGCTAACTTAGTAACTTTAGTAATCTCTGAGTTGGTAGCAACAATGGATGGCCAGACATGCTCAAGACTTAGAAGCAGTAACAGAAAGAAACCAAATACTGCACCCAGAATCCTTAAGGAAAACAATGTGCCTACCGATAAAGGCATCAAGTGCAAGGACATGCCTTGCCTCTGCAGCTACTCCCACTGCCAGCTGGATGCATCCAAAGGAACACTGCCTTTCGCCTGGCTGGCAAGGCTACAACCAGGTCCTGATCAGACACCCTCTAAAGTAAATACCATTATATGAGTGAGTCAGGGCAACAAACCATTTGGAAAGCCCACTTTGGGGGCTAGCCAATTTTTTTTTTTTCTTTCAGTTTGGAGCCTGTGGTCCTCAAGTGTCTCCCCAAACTGAAAAGCATTTTAGACATATGTAGCCAGTCCCCAGCAGCGAGCACAAGGGCTGTCAGGGCCACAGGAAGGTGCTCCAAACCCCACACATTTCACCATTCCTGGGCAGCGGGAAATATTTACACACGCACAAACCAAACAGGGTTTCCTACCAAAAGCCCTTTTTATTCCAGGGTCAAGGACCGACACGGCTGTTCAGTAGCCGCGGGTGTCCCATCCTTGGCCCCTGCGCCCTCGGGGCCGTCACTGCGGGTAGGGGAGCCCGGTGCTGCCCCTGGGCATCCTCCGCCGACCCGGGTGGCGGCCACTCCCGCAGGGACATTCAAGGGCAGCCGATCTGCATCCTCGGGCTCCCGGGAAGGAGCCACCCAGGTGCAGAGCCGCGGCCAGGGCCGGACACAGGGCGCCGGGGATGCCGCTTCCCTCCCCCGGCACCTTCCCCCGCCGCGCAGGCCCGGGGCTGTGCTCCCCCGCCTCCGGCAGCGCCGGGGCTCCCTCGGCATCGCCGCCTTTGGCCGCCGGTGCGCCCGGCAGCGAGGGCAGCGGCCCGGCCGCGCTCCACCTGCTCGCCGCCGCGTACTCACTCCGCGTAGCCCGTGGTCCAGGGCAGGCGCCGGGTGTCCTTGCTGAGGATGAGGATGGGGCGGGCGATGTGGTCCGCGGAGCACTCCACCTCGTCCGGGGACAGTCCCAGGAACTCGGGTCTCCCGTAGGGGAAGCGGAGGGGCAAGTCCGCGCCGCTGCCGTGGTCGGCGCCCGCGCTGCCAGCCATGATGCCGCCCATGAAATTGGCCACGGCGGACTTCACCCGTGTGAGCATAGTACCCCCGCCGGCGGCGGCAGCGCCGGGGCCGCCGCGCAGGGCGGGGAGCGGGGCGCGCCGGCGGGCAGCGCTGCGGAGGCGGCTCCGGCGGCCCCGCCGCGCTCCCGCAGTGGGGGCGCGGGGCCGGGCGAGAGGACGGCGGGCTCAGGGGCAGCCGCGGGGCCGAGGCCTCATTGCAGGTTTCCCCCTCCCGGCGCGGCGCTGGGTGAACTCAGCCCGGCGGCAGCGGCTGCTGAGTCATGTGATAGCGCGGCTGGATTCGCCCGGGCGCTTCCTGCTCCTCCTGCGGCACCGGCGGGCTCCTGGCACACGCCGGGCACGGGCGCCGCCGCCTCCCCGCGCCGGGGCCGGCCCGCGGCAGGTGCGCGGCGGGCGGAGCCTGCGCCCGGCGGGGCCGCCCCCGGCTGCCCGCAGCGATGCGGCCGGGAGCGCGGTCCTGCCCGCGGCCGCCTCCGGGATGAGCTGCCCGGGGCAGCGCTCGGAGTCGCTCGGGGCTCCCCTACCGGGGCTGGGGATCGCAGCCCGCAGTGCGCTGCCCCTGCTGCCTCTGGGCTGAGCCAGCGCCGTCCCAGCCCCGGCAGAGCCCGCTGATCCTGCGAGACAAGACTCTGCTTGGAGGGTTTACTTGCCTTCTGCTCAAACCCGCCAAGGATATTTTCCCAAGGAAGCCATTTGCTAGAAAAAGAACCTGGGACAGTGGCCGAAAGTGAGCCCTGCTGCCCGCCTGCCCTGGTTCCCCCTGGCTGCCCGGGGAGTCGCGGACTCGCCCGTCCGCCGCTCAGCGCTGACCGCAGCCCCCGGGCTGCTCCGCGCACCGCCAGGCGTTCGGGATGCTGCCGTGGAGCAAAAGTGAAAGGACGGGGCCAAAAATATTCACATTTTCAGACATAGATGTTTTAAACGCTTCTTCTCTTGTTGTGTTATTTTGACCATGTTATACTCTTTCAAATAAAAAAAAAATAAATTAGGAGGTCTGTTCAATGTGGTAGTCACCCATGTGTGGAGGGGTTGCAGATTTGGGTGTGCCAAGCTTTCAGAAAATGTAGGAATGGAGCAGGAACATATAGGAAGTCTGTCCTCTGAAGCAAGGCTTTGTCTGAGCCCTGTGATTATGCAGCCCTCCTGAGAGCTGTAAATCTCACTGGAAGGCAATGACCTGCGAAATGAACGAGGAAGGTACGGCAAACCTTGAGAGTAGTGAAGTACTGGAACTTAAACTTTGCAGTCTATTGGACCCGAAGGTGCTGAAAAATATCATTGACTAAAACTTAAACAGAGAGAATGCAGTGTTTGTTCTCCGACCCCATACTGCAGTCACTATTCCACACAACATGAGGGAGAAATGTGAAGTAATATGTTAGAGTTTAAATTATTATCTCTGCTAGATGACAAGGAAAAGCCCAGATGAGACATATGGGGAGACAGCTTAGCAGCTCACCACTCAAAACAGATCTGTGCAGTTTGAAATGTGTGGATGCTTACCTCTGGTACAAGAATGTTGTAAGGATACAGCAGTACAACAGGAGGGATATGGCCTCCTCATGCTGAAAAGTACAGAGATGCCTTGATTTCAGTTCTCTAGGAAAGAGGATCATGTTCACTTTTGAGTCAGAAGTGAAGCTTCACTTCTCAAAGGAAGTAATAATCAGTCCCTGCAGGGCTCAGCAAGTTCCCCATATCTCCCGGCCCATGATCCACCTGGTCCAAGCCAGACATTTTTCTTGGTGGCAGGTAGACTTTTAAAGGTTTTGATATTGAGTTCCAATAAAATTTTGAGTCTGAATTCTCTATGCAAATATTTGAAAATCGACTCTCTGTCCTTCTGCAATCCCATGACTAATGCAAAAGAAAGATGTCAGGTTAGAGGGGTTTTTTAAATGTTAACTTATATGTGACATTGGAGCAAATCTGCTTTTCTCTCTGAATGGGTAACCATGCTGGGGAGTGAAGCTGTGTGTGGGCCAGAAACATATTCATTTAAGCTCTTTGAAGCATCTGAATTAGGCCACCTTGCTATGCATCATATTCAGCATTCAACAAATTCAGTCATTTTAATCATAATGAAAGCAGATTGGAGATGACTTCTGAAAATCATGTCCTCCAGCTCCTTTTCAAAGCAGGGCCAACTTTAAACTTATGTTATATTCTTCAGAAACATATCCAGTCAAGTTTTCAATATTTCCAAGGATGGAAATATTACAGCCTCTCTGGGCACCAGTTCCAATATTCAACCACCCCTTAAATAATTTTTTTCCCTTGCCATCTGTTTGGGATTTCTGTTGTTGCAGATTGTGCTTGTTGCCTCTTATCACACGTCACCTTTGAGAATACCTCTGAGATTCTTTCCTCTCTGTACTGTCTTACTAGGTAGTTGAAGGCAGAACTAAGGTTTCTTCACCTTAGCCTTGCCTTCTAAAAGCTGAACAAATCCATTTATCTCAGCATCTTCTTGCAGAACCTTGGTGGCCCACTGCTGGACCAGTAGGTCAGCTGGGGGGCCCCAAACTGGACACAATTCTCTCACAAGTGCCATTCAGAGAAGTGTGATCACTTAATACACCCCAATATGTGCAAAGGAACATTGGTGACTGATACTCACTTTATTGCCTGCCAGGATCCTCAGGCTTGTTCCTGCAGAGATGCCTTCTTGACCATCAGCCCTCTGCATGGGTTTTCCCCATCCCAGTTTCAGGACTTTGCTCATGTTCTTGGTGAACTCCAGCAGGTTCCTGTTAGCTCATTTCTCCAGGCTGTTGAGATCCCTCTGGGTTGGAGTCCTGCCCTCCAGTTATCAACTTATTCCACACAACCAGGAGGAAAGGAAGACAAATACTTATAGTCAGAAAAAGATTCTTAGGGCTATCACAATGTTTCTGTAGATATTATTTTTATATAGAACCATAGAATATCTCAAATTGTAATGAACCCATAGTAAGGATCATGGAGTTCAACTCTCTGCTCCTTGCAGTACTACCTAAAGCTAAACCATGTGGATAAGAATATTGTCCAGATGTTCCTTGACCTCTGGCAGGCTTGATGCCATGACCAGTTCCCTGGAGAGCCTGTTGCAGTGACCAAACACAGTGAGAACTTTTCCTAATGTCCAGTCTGACCTTACCTTGATGCAGCTTCATTCCATTTCCTTGTGTCTTATTTTTACTTTTGTAGCTACTTTTTTAAAGAACTGTAAGAAAATTCACTTTAAATAAAGAAAAGGTTTGCAAAATTAAATATCCACTTGGCTGTAAAGATTCTGGTTCTAGCTTGTGAGTACTTGAGCAGAAAGTACAACATGTGGAGTAGTTGGAAGTGTATCCAGTGAAAGTGCATTGACTCAATGTATTTAAATTTTTTCTGATAATAAAAATATTCCTGGTGCAAGTCCCTTTTTGTTTATTTTGCATAATATGGCAATGCTTGGGGCTCTCTGCCTCACAGGAATGTGGAATTTATTTCAATAGTGTAACTCTCACTAGCTTGTACCTCGTTTATACCTTATGTTGCTTGCTTACTTGAAGGTTTTTTTCCTGTGTTTTTCATGCTCTGAATAAAAGAAATAAAAATCTCCCAAAGATTTTGGTGAGAGAAGAAGCAGGTCTGATGTGAGATGAATGCTCCATTTCTGCAGGTTTGAACTTCTGAGTCACGTTATCACAGATGTAGTCAATGTCCGCAGGTGTGAACTGAGCTGCATAACAAATTAAGAGGGTGTGTCAGAATACATGCCTGGCATTACAGGATGAAGCTGTATATGTAGGGGGGAAAAAGCTTTGACAAAAGAATTGGTTGCACTTCTCTGTTAATTCCCCATATAAAATACACAGAAAGCCTTATTTTTGCATATGATTCTACTCAGGAAGATTACCACATCATGTGGTGATCAATGAAGTTATTCTTACCTTTTCAAAAGGACTGTGCAACCTTTAATTAGCATGAGGAAGCTCTTTATCTCTACAGAAAGGCCCTTCAGAAGCACAGTGCCTGAAGCATCATAGTGATGTGGAGGACAAAATGCCTCTTATTAAGACATCAATCCTACTTCCAGCAATACCCAATCTCTGTCTGCCTTCAGCAACTCCCAGCATTTCTAGGCTTATCAGAGCTGATGAGATGGAAGCTGTTGGTGTTCTTGCCAGTTTGCATGCAGAAGAACCAATTAAACTTAAAAATAAATAAATGTTAGCAATACTTGAAGTGGTATATTTCCTCTGCTGTGCCTGATACCTACTGCACCATCCTCTAGTAAATATTAATTCCATACATGGATTTCCTTTTGAGAAACTTCTGGAACTGAAGCTCGTAGAGAGCATCTCCATCGGAACATGAGTAGTGTGATGGTCCCAAGGCTTTGTGGTCCAATCCAGTCCCCCACAGAGTATGAGCTGGGTAGTCCAAATGAAGGCTGCTTTCCAGAGAGTCAAAATTCACTAAATGTTATCAGGGCCAAGTCCTCGTATATGAAATTTAGGGTAAAATGTTCTTTTTCTACTGCCATCCTAACCACAAAGTGACCAAACCCCAAAAGTATTTTGGCTTTGTCAGGCTACAGGGACTATAGCTGGGTTTAGCTTTCATGGCCAGGTGCTCTTCAGCTGCAGGTTCTCCTCTAAGTATTTTATCAGAGACCTGCTGAAGCTCTGGGTGGTTGGGGACATGGGAAGGGCAGGCAAATATACAAAGTTTCTTTTAGGCTGGTGTGAAGCTAGTTGTACACATGGGGTTCGTGCTAATATGCAACATAGACACATCAGGAGACCTGGGATGGCAGGCAGGAGCAGGAGCTGGGTGTTGTCTGCCCCACTCCTACCTCCTCACCCGTGGAGAATTACCTTTGTTCTTGGTCATGCTGAGTGGCTAAACCCCTATGCTTTTAGGGATTCAAAAACTAGAAATTCTCTCATCAGTACAACCTAGCTGAGGAGGTATTTTCCTAGCACAGCTGTTGTACTGAATCAAGATGGCTTTAACAAAGCAGGGGCTGGGGCCCTGGGTTCCCATTTCCCAACAGAGCCTCCCCCTCCTGCTCTTGCAGACTCCT